AAAATATAAGTAGTCCTTCATCCCTTGTTCAATTAATTAAAAAAATCAAATAAGATACATTTAGTCACTATCACTCTCGGTTAAGTAATTTGGAACTTCTTCTTCCGATGTTTCCGTTCCATCAAACTCTTCCTTTTCATCATCATCCTCACCCACACATTCTTCCTCTGTCACATATGGCAATTGCATGACCTCACTAATCACCACTTCTTCTCCCCCTTGAGATGCTAGTGAAACATGATCATTTAAAACAGTCGAGGGTTGCACCAATTGTGGCATAGGAGGATCATCGTCTTGATAATAAACATTTCCACCGTTACTCAACGATGAAGCGTCGATTATTGCTCTTGCTCTAATCTTACATGCAGCAAACCACCCTTTTCTACAAGGATTTTGAGATAAGTAACGGGCATAAAACACTTATTGAGCTTGACTAGCCAATATGAACGGTTCATCTGTTTGTAATTTAAACCGATGATTTATGTCAACTATACCAGATGTCGAATGGACCACAATGTCTTTGTTGATATCATACCACTCACACTTGAACAAAATCACTGATTGATGAACATATGAATCAAAATACTAAAGCTCAATTATTTCCTTCAAACTCCCATAATAATCTAACTCATCATTGAAAGTGGTTCCCTTCACACAAACACCGCTATTCATGGTCTTTTTATTTTGTCCATATGCAATAGTATGAAACCAAAATCCATTAACCCAATAACCATTGTATACCCTAATGTTATTGATTGGGCCAGTTACTAAAGGCAAAAGGCGAGAATCAACCTCATATCTTCCACTACGCACCTAGATCTATTATAAAAATATTTAATATTTAATCCTAAAATATATAAAAATTGAGATTTTACTAATAAAGATTATTAAAATAAATTACTTACCATTGTCTTAAACCAAGGAATAAATTCAAGTTGCCATTTGATTTGAATTTGATCCTCTTATAGACCAGAACATACTTGATAAACAAAAAGCCTACATGAAGAAGTTGGAGTAAACAACCTAAACATATTAGTAACTTAAACAAATGAAAGTTAGAACTAGAGAACATAAGCAATCCATCGATTGACTTCTTCACAATTAAGCAAAACATAAAGTTTTGCTGCCTTTAATTCTTTGGGTGACAATGCACGCATACGTATTTCTCCACCTAGTGGTTGACCTCGATGTTTAAAGACAAACAAACAATTATCCATATCATCATTCACGCCGACAATGTTTCTTGGTTGACGATTCAATCTTGTCTCTATATTAAATCCAAAATAATGCGAGCAAAAGAAGGAAATTTCTGAAAGAATATTAGACTCGCAAATTGAAGCTTCAACACGATTTTTGTTCAACACTATTTTCTTAAGGTCATGCATTTTTCTGCTAAACAAATAAGAAAATTAATTAATAATATTAAATTATTAAATATGCTCATGAATGTTATTGTGATGCAAAGATATATTAGAAGGAATATACCTTTCAAAAGGATACATCCAACGAAATTGGACAGGTCCTCCAACTTTTGCCTCATATGGTAAATGGATAGCCAAATGCCCCATCGAGTCAAAGAATTCCAACGGGAATACTTTCTCTAACTTGCAAATGGTCTCAACAATTTTTTCCTCCCACATCTCCATGTTACTAACTTGAATAATTGGAGCAGTTAAAGCTCTAAAAAAGTTACTTATCTCAGTTAAGGGACCCCAAACTTCATCTATGAGGAAATCACGGAAAGCAATTGGCAAGAGACGCTGCATGAATACATGACAATCATGGCTTTTCATCCCAAACAATCGAAGTTCCGGCATGTTAACACATCGTGCTATGTTGGATGCATACCCATCTAGGAATCTCAATTCCTTCAGCCACTGACAGATAAGAGCTCGTTGCTCTCGAGTAAGAACATATGTAGCTTTGGGTTTTATAGCTGCTCCATCATCTTGAGGTATCAATTCTAATTCAGATCTATTGCAATACAGCTGTAAATCCAATCTAGCATTGGTGTTATCCTTCGTACAACCCTTGTCATCCATGACAGTATTTTTAATGTTATCTAAAAAATTCTTCTCACAATGCATAACATCAAGGTTATGACGAATCAATAAATCCTTCTAGTATGGCAATTCCAAAATATACTACGTTTCACCCAATTATGAAAAACACCAAATCCTGCAATTGAATGTTTACAAAGTGGCTGAC